ATATATCCAAGTCTAAAATACTTTATGCAATACTAATTATTGAAATTAAATACATGTGCATAAGCTTTCAAAAATGTTATGCTATTGAAAATTTTGATATCAATTGTTAAAGAGATATCTTTTGCATTTAAAACACATACATAAACATTTAAATTTAGGTAAAAATTTTAAAATTTGTAAAATCAAAGTATTTGAAAAGTTGATATCAATTGTTAGAGATATATCATTTGCATTGAAAATAAATTTTGACCAAAATTTATTATGATGAACTAAAAATTATTAAAAATAATTACAACTTTAAAACGTTTATCATAAAGCATTTTTCAACATACATGATATTAAAAACAACGAATAATCATTTAAAGTCAAAACTCATGTATGCATAAACTAAATGAGCAACCAAATAACAAAAATAAAAACATTAAGCTTAGAGGTTACACATTCCTTTTTTAATTGTGGCTAGAACATTTAATATCTTCACTTTCATCACCATTCCTCCCACACACCTACAAGAGTTATTTATTTGGATTTTGGTTTCCAAATTGCTTTGGATCCTTGGACGTTAGTTTCAATGCCCCTTATTCCCTTAGGAACCCATGCTTGTCTAATTTTAAAAGGTTTTCTTTTCTTTATGGGACAATTATGTTCCAAATGACCATATAAAAATGACAATGTGAGCATTTTGCCATTTTCAAACATAATGAGTTGTTTTTAGAAATTAATTATTTTTCTTTTGTTAAGCTCTCATGCTTAACTTTTATATCAAAATTTTCTTTTTCTAAATCACTGATATTGACTTTTGAAAGCTCTAAATAATTTTTCAAAATTTCATTTTGATTTTCAAAATTAACTTTTACTTTCAAAATAAATCATTTTCAACTTTAAGTTTTGAAATCAATTTCTTATATTTGGAATTCATGTCTCAAATTCCAAATACAACTCATTATAAGCATCTTGTAACTCATCAAAAGAATGTGAATTTAAGTCATTTGAGTTAGAAGATACCATTGAATATTCTTCGATGGCCAGGAGGCATAATTGAAGCACACAGGGGGACTCTTCTTCTTGGTCGATTCATGTTTCACTTCCTTGGAAGACATGAATCTCTTAAACTTTTTGAAGAGCTTGGCCATCTCTTCTTCTTCATCATCGTCTTCATCCACCTCTTCATTTGAATATAGATAGCTCTTTTTGGTGGACTTGAAGGCAATGCCTACCTCATTCTTCTTGTTCTTCATCATCTTCCTCTTCATTCACCATAAACTCTTGAGTGAGAAGAGAACCAATAAGCTCGTCGAGAGTGAGAGACTTTAGGTCTTTAGCTTCGATAATCTTCGTCTTTTTCGATTGTCAATACTTTAGAAGAGAGTAGATCATCTTCCTCATAAGTTTTTCATTAGGGATTACTTCTCCAAATCCCTTTAGACCGTTGACAATTACGGAGAATCTATCCATCATAGCTTTGACGTCTTCATCAGGTTTCATCTTAAAATTCTCATAGCTATGGTTGAGAAGACTTATCTTGGTTTCCCTCACTTCATTGGTTCTTTCATGAGTTACTTTGAGATTATCCATATCTCCTTGCATTGGAACAAGAGTAGACTCTTCCATATTCATCCAGGCCTAATGAACAAAAGAGGATGAGCATAGCCTTAGCATTGAGCTGGGAACCTTTTCTTTTCTCAATCACTCCAATCGTCCATCTCACCGGGTGGAGTGGAGTAACCCTTAATGATTGAGTTCCAAGCTCCTAGATCGTTGGCTTGAATGAAGAGCATCATCCTATTAATCCAATAGGCATAATTTGATCCATTGAAGTAGGGTGGCTTATTGACCGGTTGAGAATCTTCCATGTAATAAGCACTGGAGGTTGAAGCCATCTCTTTTTCGGTTACATTGGGAATCAATAGATCTTCTTCAAGGATCGTCTCCAGGATGTGAAACCTTCTAACGAGTCAAGCTCTAATACCAATTGTTAGGATTTGCGGAAGCTCGAATCGATCAACCGAAAAAGTTGCAAGGGGTGAATTAGTACAAATTTGTTTGGGGAGTAAGGAGAGAAAAAGATAAGACAATTGACACAAGGATTTATAGTGGTTCGACTTATCAACCAAGTCTACATCCACTACCTAAGCTCTTCACTTAGGATTTTCTAACAAATCCACTAATTTGTTCTTCTTTTTCAATGATCAAGAGATAACATTTACAGTCCCTAGTTTTCACTTGGCTAAACTAAAACCAAACCCCTTTTACAAAAGAAAAGATAATGTTAACAAGAAAAACCTTACAAGGTAGGTGTTCACAAAATGAAGCTCACTAAAACACAATATTTACAAGAGGATAGAAAAATAAGAATGGAAAATTCTTCTATTGTGTTTGATTGCTTGGATAGGTGTTCTAACCCTTCTTCAAGTGTCTTGAACTTGTATTTATATGTTGGAATGAAGTTGTGTCGTTTCTAGCCGTTGGAGATGATTTCTAGCTGTTTGGGGATGAAATCTCTGTAAAATAAAACTGCTCAGTACAAATGGGTATCGGTACTCCAAAAGGGAGTATCGGTACTATCTTTGTTATTTTTAAATCAACTAATCGTTACTAGCCATTAGGGCCTGATGGTATTGATACTATGCCTATGGTATCGATATTACTATGTAATGCACTATCGATACCCCTTTTAGGTATTGGTATCATTTTTGTATTCTGGAATTTGAGCAATGTTGGTAGCATCGATACTACCTAGTGAGTATCGATACTTCTCTTACCTTGATATCGGTATCATATGAACAATATCGATATTGTTTATGAGGTATCGATATTTGTAAGAACAATATCGATACTACTTGTCTAGAAAATTATTTTTTGCTCAATTCCCTGTTTTAAGGACTTTAAATTATTTTTTAAAACTTTGAAAAACTTTGAATAAATTCAATTCAAGTCCAAAAACATTTTGCCTTAATTGTTATATCATAATATAGTTCAACAATTTTAGACATTTAAAACAAAAAGTTACTTATATTTTAATGTAAGGTAATATATATTAATTAACCGTTACTTACGAATACAATTCTCCTATCCTTATTTTATACCCCCTATATGTGTCAATCACTCATTATAACACGTGTAATATAATTGTTCAATAACTTAATGAAGTTAGTCATCATTGTTTTTTATTTTTCATTTAATAATTTCTTTTGATAGGTAAAATATATTTTTTTATTTTTTAATAATATTTTATCGATTGTATTAAATTTATTATATTTTATTTTATCTATTATTTTCTAAATAATATTCTTAATTTATAATTAAATTTGTTTTTTAAATATTGAATATTTTATTATAATTCATTTGGATTAGTTTTTAAATTAAATATTTTAAGCTTTTTTATAAATATTTTTTCAAATAATTAGTTTTAAATTAAATAAAAATATTAATAAATTTCATATATTATGTTAAGTTTATCTTGATTGTTTTAGGTAGAAATACCTTTTTTATCAAAATAAAATAAATATAAATAAATAAAAACAAAATTTGATTTAATTTGTTGTGATTATTTTATTTGTAATAATTATTAAAGTTTATAGTTTCAAAATTTGTCAGTGTATAACTTTTTCGTGTCAAAAAAATTGAGGGAGATATTTATGACAATATATTTCTCACTATAATTAAAATATATAATTACAAACATAATTTTTCACCAAAAATTTAAATATCAATATTTGTTATGATAATTATTTTCTATAACAGTAATTATAAGTTATAGTTACAAAACATGTCATTCTATAACTTTTATTTTTTACCAAAAATTGGAGGAAAACATGTGTGACTATACATTTTGTCACTACAATTAAAATATATAACTACAAATATAATTTGTTACCAAAAATTTGAATCTCAATATTTGTTGTGATAGTTTTTCTGTAACAATAATTATAAGTTATAGTTACAAAACATGTTACTTTATAACTTTTGTTTTTGCGCAAAAAAATGGAAGAAAAGATTTGTGACTACACATTTTGTCAATATAATTAAAATGTATAACTACAAACAAAACTTGTCCAAAAAAAATTGAATCTCATTATTTGTTGTGACAATTTTTCCTTGTCATAATTATTAAAACTTATGGTCACAAAACTTGTCACTATATGTCATTTTGTTTGCACCGAAAAATGGAGAGAAACATTTGTGACAAAAAATGGTAACAAAATATATTTTGTCGCCATATGTTACACAAGTTTACTAATTATGACAGAATATTACAACGATTTTAGTTTTTCTCACAATTGTATATATTTTTCTAATTTAATGTGACTCTTATTTATTTTCTCACAAAAAATTATTAGTAGTGACAAATAATTTTGACAAAATTAAATTTGTCACAATAATAGAAATTTCTTGTAGTGTTTTATTAGCATCTTTATTTTAACTCAATACTTTATTTTGGTTTTGTAAGTAGTTTTTAAACTCCATTGGTGTTACATTGTATTGTCAAGGCTGCTAACAAGCTTGTGTTTTTAGAGTAAAAGAAGTTGGAGTTTGAGAGATTTTAAGGACTAGATTGGTAAAAATTGAATGTTAAAAGTTAATTTTTAGAATTATGATCAAATTAAAATAAAATATAAAAATCAATGATTAAATTTATTGTTACGGTAATTTTATTAATTATCATGTTATATATTGTTAGTATTTTAGCATGAAAGATGGACTTTTAACTTTCGTTAACTTAAATGATATTTTGTAATTCTCCATAGTCAGAGGATATAACAAAAAACACTCTATAACAAGATTATCGACTGTATATATACCTTCAAAAGTAAAAGAAAAAAGAAAAAAAAAAGACTAAAACTAAAAAAAATATTTGGAGAATCATACTCGTTTCTCCATAAATGAATCCAAACGAAAAGAAAAATATTTGCTTCAAATATACTGCATAGGTTTGATCATTAAAAAGAAGAAAGAATCTAAATTCCTATCTTGTATGTATACATTACTGATAAAATTAATTAAACTTTCGGCCCTTCTAATCGAATATAGTCATACATAACTGCGTTGAATGCCCCCATGCTTCTGCCTTGAGTTAGAAAGATTGTGTTCTCCCCTTCCTCAAATCTGTTACCAGCCACTTTAATACTATACAAGCTGTACATTCCATGAATTCCATGCCGTGCTACGGCATTATCGTAACCTATTCTCCTCGTCGTAAACATTTGTATGAATCGGACCTATGAATACATTCAGGTCTAAACATTTGTAAAGTATCTCATATATATAGTATTAAATATATAATTTGTTATTGTCAATGTTATAAAATTTATGAGATCCTTTATTAATTATTCGATTAATCTATGAGAAACCTCCAAAAAACCTGGGTGCCTTCCGAGTGTTATTCGAATAAAATACATTAATATTGATATTTATTGTTTATTAAGTTAATTAAATATATATTTTATTCACTTTAAATAATTCTTTACCATTTTTCTATATTTTTTACCCATATATATTTTTTGATATATTATTTTTACATAATTATTTTAATATATATATATATATATATATATATTCATTTTTACTTATTTTATGTATCTATTTGTTTATTATTGTTTAGTTATCTCATCTTATTTATTTATTTATCTCTGTTTAGTTTTATTTGTCATGATTGCTATTTCATCCTTCGCTATACATGTCATTTACTCTTGTTGCATTCATACGTTATGTATTTGTTTTCTCGCTTTCAAAAATTATCAAAGGTAATGTGCTCTTACGTCGTGGGTTAACGAAATTATGTCTAATATAAATGGATTTCAACTTTTGTTAATTCACGTAATAAGAAAACATCCTTTTTAAATAAAAGTGAGTAAATTAAGTTATTTTTTATCGAGACAAATATTTTAAAAATAAAATAAGTTCACTCATTTACAAATTCATCGAAACGAAGTGGGTCTTAATTTAAACTATAAATTCAAATCTGTAAAATTCTACTACTTAGACAACGTATAATCGAGGGTATCAATTTTGGGCGTTATGAGGGTGCTCACCCTTCCCTATGAGTAATCGACTCCCAAATCATTAAAAAAACGAATCTAGGGTAAATGCAGATCAATTTTTGTCTTAAAAATGTTTTTCTTAAAATTATTTTAAAAGACGTCTTCAAGTATTCGACCTACCTAACCCAAAGATTGATAACAACTCTAAATTTCGATGGCGACTCCAAATTTCAAATTAAACAAAATTATAAAATTTCCAAAATAAAGTCATAACTATTTTAAAATTAATTTATGTTTATTAAATGAAGGTTACGACAAATTGTATTGTGGGTATCGTGATTGTTCAATAATAGTTTCATACACCTATTTGAATTTTCAAATCACATGTTAAACCAAATCGCATACCATATCAAGCCTTAGTAGCAGGACGTATGGAAATTCAATTCGGCCTACACCAGGGGAAGATTGCTCTTAACTCAGTAGTCTGAGATGAGATAATGCTTTTAAAATTTGGAGAATCATACTCGTTTCTATATATTAATGAAACCAAACGTAAAAAAAAATATTTGCTTCAAATATACTGTCCAGGTATGATCATTAAGAAGAAGAAATAACTGCATTTATACATTCTTCTAAATTCCTATCTTGTATTTATATAAAATAAATTAGTTGACCTTATTCCCATATGTAAAGAGGTGAGGGGAGATAAAATAGTAGGCTGCCCCCAAAGTCAGGTTGAGAGCAACTTCCATAGAAGACCTCTGATAGTCAGAATTATGAATTGCCCAACGTAGGACTCGATCCTACGACCACAAAGTTAAGAGCCTTGCACTCTACCAACTGAGCTGGACGGGCAACTCCCATCTTGTATTTATACATTCTTCTAAAATTAATCAAACTATCGGCCCTTCTAATCGAATATAGTCATACATAACTGCATTGAATGCCCCCATGCTTCTGCTCTGTGTTAGAAAGATTGTGTTCTCCCCTTTCTCAAATCTGTGACCAGCCATATTAATGCTATATAAATCTATACATTCCATGAATTCCATGTCGTGCTACGGAATTATCGTAACCTATCCTCCTCGTTGTAAAATACGGTCGAACGGCACTCGGGTCGTTTAATCGGACCTATGAATACAATTGTAAAGGTTCATTAGCATAGAGAGTAAGTGAAAAGCATAGCTACATTCTATCCCCTGGGAAATGATTACCGATAATGTTGAGATTTATACCTGTACTTCAGCATAAGAAGCTGCTGCCAAGGCCAACTGGAGAGTGTAAGTTCCTGCCTCATTTACTTCCTTGAGATTGTACTTAATCTGCCATGTGGTCGGCCGGAGAGTATTGTTCCCTAGGTTCCTGTAAGTAGAAAATATTAGATCCAAGAGAGTCTATCACCCTGAATATATATAAAAAGGATGTTGAGAAATTTATGGAGTTGAAATTGGCACCTGGGAACATGAGCAAAGAACCAATCCCGAGAATAGTTACTAGTGCCGATAGTATAGACGAGATCGTTGTGATGATAAATCTCTGAGTAACGATCCCACAATCCGTATTGTCTATACCTGCCCATTGAAAAAAACATACTGGAAAGTTGAAGAAATATGTGTGTAGATCTTTAGGCTGAATGGTATGCATGACCAAGAGGTTAAACAGAGATTACTTGTCCGTTTCATCGAGGCACAATGAATTAACAAGAATTGGGTCAGGTTCCGGTATGAAGAACTCGGCTGCTGTGCGGTCTGGAATCCCAATTTCCCACAACGTAGGGCCATTCCTTGGAGGATCATATATTAGAGTACCTAAGCTAATCTTGTTTCCTGCATAAGCGTTTATGAAAAAAGATTATGTGATTTCAGGAACCCAATGGTCTAGAGAAGTAGAGTAACATGGAAATAAATTTTACCTGGTTGAATAGTGATGTTGAGATCCAATTTGTAGTCTCCAATGAAACCATGGACCCATGCATACAAATTATACAATCCCGGTCGGACATTTTCTATATGGAAAAGGCCATTGTTGTGTGTTTGAGTCCAAAATTGATAACCCTGAAAACAGAAAAGAACATGACAGAAAGCAGAGGTGTGAATATTCATATACGTCTATAGTTAAGACTTGTGATTTGGTTGACAATATTAACCTTCCCGTCGTGTTGCCATGATCCTGCATCTCCAGGCGCAGCCAACACCACAAAGGCGGATTGCGCCGACACTAATTCCTTATCATTGTACCGGTCTCGCACAAGTAACTGACCCCTAACCTGGCCTCGTTGTTCAGCACGAGGAAAATCTTTCGATCGAGTGAAATTGTAAGGCCAGCTTTCAATTTCTTCACTCAACTAATGGTGCACATATAAGTGATAAATGAGTTAGTTGTTCAATACCATTAATTTAAGATCACCAGATCTTGCTAGTAATGAGAAAACCTGTCTTTGAGCGTCCATCCACAGTATCTTGCGATGATCATTATCGGAAGAAGCAGAATTAAGATAAATAAAAGCAGGACCGAACACCTTTTTCCAATGCTCTCCTTTCTTATATCTTGAGTCGAAATCTTTCCCGGCATAGTGAGCAGTAACAAGCATCTGCATCATCGAAGCAATGAAAATTTCAGACAATCAGTTCTAGCTAAATGGAAATTGTTGCAAGCTTTTATAATTTATGCATGTTGTTGGCTTGAACATAGACTTACGCATAGAGAAGTGGCACCAGGATGAGAAGTGAGGCCCTGCTTGTGAGGGCCACCGGCTCTGAACTCAGAGCTTGGTGTGATTATCCAGAAACCGACGGCATCGTCATCGGATATCCATCCATGAAGCTTATTATCTTTGTTCTCAATCGAATATTGGTACTTGTCATCAACCTACGGACCACAATTATCAGGGGACTTAAATAATAGTACTATACAAAGAAGCTAAGTTTAGTTCTTTCATGAAAACAAGAAAATACCTCTCCTTTAAGCTGAGGATCGGACGGATTTGTCAATACGACGGCTTCTTTGAAGGCAAGAGTCTGTGAGCGTATTCGATCATATGTACTAGGCATGATCCTTTGTCTGCTGTCTGATAGTGCCATGAACCGAAACCTAATCCAAAATGTCACATGAACCTTTAACATCAATTATTATGAAAAACTGGTTCTCATACATACAAGTAGCTATTAAGGGATTCATCTTTGGTTTTTACCTGTCTTCCCTAAGCTTGAAAACAATCCTTATGTGGTCCATGCTAGCATCCGGAAAATCATTTTCACGCTCGAAAATACTGTACATGTATAGCCCTGGAACGCCTCGTCGTACTATGAACCTGAAAGAATTAAAATATATAAGCTTAACAATCAATCTTATAACAATATTAAGGGTTATTTGAAAGCAATTGCACACCTTTTGTCAATGTTTAAAGGAACATGCTTGTGATAATCATTTGTAGAATTCCATTTTTTGGTGAAGGAAAGCTCTACTAACTCATGAGTTCGTGTAATAACCTCAAAATGTTCTGTTACTAATCTGCAACAGCATCAAAGATATCAATTAAAGAAACATTGTATAGAGAGCGTGAAGAAGGAGAAGGAAGTGAAGAAGAACTTACTTGTCCATGGGACAGTGATCCGAAAAAATGTCCCAGTACCTAGAAATATGTTTCCATTTTATAAGGTTAAAAAACTAAAAAGAGAGGCCACAACAGTTACATATTAATTAAAAGTAATTCATACCCTCTATCGTCGTTACGGTGTCTACCGTCAAGAACATTATCCATTCCATTATATCTTATTCCATTCAGAAAACCGGACGGATTCTCGATAGTGACTTCAACAATTCCATTACGAATTATCACCTGAAAAAGAGGGTTCGATTTTCTTGTTTTATTCTCATAAGATATGCTAAAACTTAGAAATCTATAAGAGGGAGAATGTGATCTTACATGGTTATCAGTTACACGTAATCCAACACGATGATGTCTATTTTCTCCGCCGTTAAAGATTTTTCTGCAATTCAAACATAAAAACGTATGTATATTTTACACAAACTTCGATCCCACGATATATTATTAAACAGAAGAAAGAAAGAACCTGTTTGTTGGGATTTCAGCACAGCAAGCGCAAAGAACAAGTAACAACACAATGATCAGTCGAAACCATAAAGCAGGAGGTGTAAAGCTGCAGCTATTTGCCTTTGTCACATTCTCCATTATTATTTACTGCTACTGTATCTACACCCACGGTAATTCTTAGTTATGTATATATACTATTTGATTATAGTTTGACCATGGCAAGGATTACTCTTAAGAGAAAACTATGTAGTTTCCTGGTGTTTTAATTATATTCAAAGTGTAAATTTAATTAGCGGTAAGTAGTTTTTAAGTCAAACGCTTTATTTATTTATTTATTTTTACTTTTAGTTGTTGGTTAATGCAAACAAAAGAACAAAAGGAAACAAATCTTATAATATTCTAAATAAGATTTTATTTTATTTTATGTACATTTTTGGGTGATTGAGATTTTTTTATTACGACATGAATAAATTTTTTAAATCAAACACCTTTTTTTATTTACTTTTAGTTTGTTTAGGTTTCTATAAAAAGCTGAAACGATAGACCAATAAATATAAAATATTATTTTTCGATATACTATAATACATCAATTTAGTTTTTTATGTATTAAAGAAGTTCTTCTCTCTATTTTATTACATTAATTAACTAAATAATACATTGAAGAATTATCCTTTTAATTGTATTAAAAGTTTGTTCAACGTAACTATTTAGATAATAAAAATTGTTGACTTAGTTGAAGTGTATTCTATGTATTAGACGTTATAGTTTGATTTGAATTTCAAATAACACAAATTAATAAAGATATAAAATTAAAAAATAATTGGGAAAGATAAAAATCTAAGTGATAACATGACAAAAAATACCCCTAACTAACTTTAACCAGATGAGCTAGAAATCTTAAAATTTGCAACAATAAAAAAGCCAAAATACCTTTTAAGGTTTAATAAATGAGCATTAAGTCCTGAAACTTTGAAAGAATGAGCTAATTAGTAAGACTCAAGATCCTAATTTTGGAGAAATTACTGGACTTGGAGCCCAAGTCTTGTAAAATTACTAAAATACTCCTGATACTTAATAAATTGATTCGAAGTCTTAAACTTTAGATATAAAATCAAAAACACCCCTAATATTTATTAAGTGGGCTTGAGGCCTTAAGACATTCTAAAATGGCCAAACTATATTGTCTGCTAAAATGAACGGATTGTCTTTATGCGCAAAAATAAGCAAAATACCCCTATGTTGTGGAAATGACTAAAATCACCCTAAGAGGTAATATATTTGATTGAGCATTGATTATACTTCTTAAGCATGTATTAACTTGTTTTTATGGAATTTTAAATTTTATGTGATTATTTTATAATGTCAACAATTATGTGTGGTACTCACGGCATTCAAACAAATAACAAAACGAAAAACTGCAATCAACATAATGTCTGCCCCTTATCATTAGGGGTGATAACGGGTCGGGTTTTAGTCAACAACGACCAGACTCGAAAATATGTTTTCTCCACTCGAATCCGATTCGATTCGATCCAAAAATCATACATCCTCCATCCGATCCGATGCAACCCAAAAATTATACATCTTCCATCCGACTCCGACCTAAATTTTTAGAGTATAAAAATCGACCCGATCGGAAAATTAAATATGCTCCACCCGACTTGACCCGACCCGGCTCGAAAAATATATATCCTCCGTCTGAGTCCGATCTAACCTAAATATTTAGAGTATAAATCTGACCCAACTTTACCCGACCTAATATAAAATAAGGACTTAATTAAATAATAATAATTTTTAAAGAAATTACATTATTATCACTGAGTCAGGTTGAGTCGAAGTTTTTTCACCCTTCACCAAAACCCATCCCAGCTCGATCTCATTCCCTTAAAAAACTCGACCCGACCCGACCTGAACTTTATTTTTTTAAAATCTAACTCTATAAGATCAGAGGTGGTCAGAACCTGTCGATTTTGGATTAAATTACCATACTACTTATGATATAAGACCATTCAAATACACAAATCTCGATATTCGATATGCAGTGAGGCTACGAGGGTGGATACTCTATTTATAATATGGATTGAAGAAATGAAAGAAAATATGGGTACTCAACTTATTCGTGTGTATGAGATTATCTGTCCATATCAATTTGAATTATGTACTTAAAAATGTCATTACTTATCACTGTATATAGCAGCGTATGAGAAAACAAAAGCCACTAAAACCAAGATAATTCGTGACGTCATACAACAAATCTCTCTATATATCATGACAATTAGTGGCGTTTTACTCACAAATACCGTTAAATAACTCAACCTTTGCGGATGTTAATCTTCATCGAAGTGAGGCTTGATAACTCCTCAGAGGGGGGTAAATTGAAGAGGATAGTTGAAATTGGTCGTAATTGAGTGCTGCGGCAACATGAAGGATTGGAGTTGGGTGAAATTAAGGTGTTGGCCGATGGTCGAATTTAAAAGAATAGGGAAGATGCAGTTTAACTATGTTTGCAGACAAAGCAACGTTTTGACATATTATATTGCAGAATATGGTATGCTACATCAATCCGTTTTCAAATGAGACAATACCAAGTGGGTGTTTTTTGCGTTCTGAATATTTGGAGGGGTGGATCTTGAACGATGTTTGTAACCAGTTTAGTGTTCTCAAATTTATATTCTTTTGTAAGATCATTTTGTTTACTAGGGTGTTGAGAATATTGTAATATATTTGTTATTATCAATTGTTGTGAGATTGTGTCTATGTGGACGACTCTTCTGTAAACTTGATCACCATCATATGCTCCCTTTCTCCTTCTATTTGGAGGGAATTTTTAATAAAACACAGTGATCTTTTATGACCATTTTCCTTCAATAAAATTCATATATTGCTGAGCAAAAAAGTAGCTAGCGATAAAAGCCTAATGTATATTCCAACGTCCGTGACAAATCATTTTATATGCCTATGACACTTTATGATATATATTCCACCTGTTTGCATTACACGTTTCATGTTGTATTTGTTAAGTAGTTGTTTATTCTAAGGTTTGTAAAGTTTAATATTCGAATTATTTGCTCCTCGTATAGATGAATTTCATTTTTTTTTATTTCTTTTAATTCGTATGACCCTTAGTGATATGTGTAGTCACTCATTTTCTTCCGGGATTTTATTCAGTATATATAACATATATATATAGTTTTTGAAAACATTTTTGAATATATATATATATATATAATATAGTTTTGGAAACATTTTTGAAAAAATATATATAATATATAGTTTTAGAAAACATGTTTGGATATATATATATAATATAGTTTTGAAAGCATTTTTTGAAAAAATATATAATATATAGTTTAGAAAACATGTTGGAAAATATATATAATATATGGGTTTTGAAAACATTTTTCGAAATATATATAATATTAGTTTTAAAATATATTATAGTATACTTATTTTTTTTATTCCTTTATTTTTATTCTCTATTTTTGTTTTATTTTTATTTTTTAGGTCCAAATAAAGTCCAGCAAAGGCCCAGCAGGAAGCCCAATCAGGTAAGTCTGACTCAGCAAGCCCGATTAGGTGGGCCTGACCCAGCCCAAAACCCAAACTAGGGTTTTGTCCTTAAGTAGGGGTATCGCATGGAGCTCGCGTGTTGCCAGTGGTCGGTTAAACAAGGAACGACCGACGTAGCACACGAAAGCATGAAACCCCGTTGAAAACGGGATTACCACAGTCAACAACAGTCCGAACGGGGGAAACAAACCCGAAACAATCGGAAACGACCCTGAAACAACTCCAAAATAATCAGAAACGACCCTACTGGGAGACTATAAATACCAACATCCGAATACCACAAAACAATGAGGGAAAAATACAGAGAAAATTGAAGCAAACCAGGCAACTCAAGAAGCAAAAAATGTTTCGAATATACAAAAAACCATCACAAAATATAAACCTTTCATCAAAAGCTGCAAGGCGGAGAGGAACACGGTCGCGAGGAAACAAAAAGACATCGAAAATCGTCGGATCTCATCGGAAAAAGCTCATTTTTGTATTAATTCAATCCATAAGTTTCAATTTATTTTAATTTGATACTTTTTTATTTTACCTTTTTAATTTCTTTTCTTCAAAGACACTTTTTACCTTATTTTCTCTTTTAGCATTTTTCTTGTATATATATATATATTTATTTTTTAATTCTCTTTTTTTTTTATTTTTATTTTTTTAAAAAAATTATTTTTTTCCTTTTTCTCATTATTTTCTTAATTTAACCCTTTTGGTTCATATCCTTTATTTACTTGATGTTTATTTCACAATCTAAAATTTCTCTTGACCTTTTTTTATGGGTAATTTCAATCGATCAAAGGTAAGTAATTCAAATCGAGTCTTTGAATTATAATTTTCGCAATTAAGACAACCGAGAAATTAAAATGGTACTGAAAGGGAAGTTCAAGGGTGCTAATCCTTCCTTGAATGTAACCATCTCCCTAATCCGACACATTTCTGATAAAACACAGATCAGATAAGATTGTGTCCGATCAACCTAATTTATTTTTTAAAGAAAAAAAACAAATGATCGGTGGCAGCTTTAACGTTTTATTTAAGTCTAAGCCCAATTCTGAGCCCACCCGAAGGACGGTTGCAACAACTTGGCGACTTTGCTGGGGACATGTAAGTGAGTCAGAACAAAATTAATTTTTGGTTGTCTTCTTAAGCAAAAATTGTAAGTTTAAATTTTAATTTAACTTTTTGATCCTTATTATTTACCATTGGTTCTTATTTTCAAATAAATAGTCGGACTGATGTTTTCTAATGCTTTCAAATTTTCAAAAATTCCTCTCAGGCTCTATACCCAAGCTCCAATCTATTTCGTAAGTGGGGGTG